CAACCATAATCAGGAATTCGATCAGGGGCACATTACAGAATGGGGCATCCATCCCATTTTGCTTTTGTTTTTTAAGATGCAATACCTAAGTTGGCTTCCTATAATAAACCTTGCTCTGTATGTCCCTTAGCAAAGTTGCACAAACTTTCATTTCCTGTTAGTCAGCACAAATCAGAAAGGTGTTTTGATTTAACATATTGTGATATCTGGGGACCTTGCAATGAAACTAGTTACAATAGATCTCGTTATTTCCTGACTATTGTGGATGATTTTAGTAGATGTACTTGGATATTTATGCTCAAATTGAAATCCAAAGACACAAATGCTTTACAAAATTTTTGTAAGCTGATAGAAACTCAATTTCAAACCAACATCAAAGTTATCCGTAGTAACAATAGAGGAGAGTTTAGCATGAACCAATTCTACCTTGAAAAGGGCATTATTCATCAGAAAACATGCATTGAAATCCCTCAACAAAATGCCATTGTTGAAAGGAAACACCAGCATATTTTAAACGTTGCAATGGCCCTAAGATTTCAGAGTGGTATTGCCTTAAAATACTGGAATGATTGTGCCTTAACTGCTGTTTATCTGATTAACAGAACTCCTTCAGCTCTTCTAAACCACAAAAGCCACTTTGAAATGTTGTTTTAGACCAAACCTTCATATTCTCACTTCAAGGTATTTGGATGCCTTGCCTTCTCTACAACTCTCACAAATGGCAGGCATAAATTTGATTCTAGAGTTAGGAGATGCATTTTTCTGGGCTATCCTTTTAGTATTAAAGGCTATAAACTCTTGATTTGGAAACAAATAAGGTCTTCATATCAAGAAATGTTGTGTTTCATGAGACTATCTTTCCATGCAAAGAAACTAAAATCACCAACATACACGCTCCACTAAATCCTACCGATCTATTCTGTCCCCAAAATTCTGTCAACTCTACTCCAACTGATATTTTCAAAGAAAAGGGAAATCAATCTGCACACCCCATAATCCTACACAAACACAGAACAAATCTACACCAATAACCCTCAAATTGATCAAGGTAGACAACAGTCAAACCAATGTGTGCCTGACAGCAACCAAATCATACCTCACTTGCCTAAAAGATCTACCAGAATTCGAAGAGCTCCAGCATACCCGCAGGCTACTTTACTTTCCCCACTGTAGGCATTGGACAAGAAAAGAGGCTCCATCCCCTCAGGTAATCCTCATCCTCTCAGCTCTAGTGTGTCATACGACAAATTATCCATACCTCATATGGCTTTTGTCTCTTCTATCACTACACAGAATGAACCTAGAACTTACTAAGAGGCTGTGAAATCCCCTAAATGGTGTGAGGCTATGAAAAATGAGATTAAGGCTCTTGAGTTGAATGATACATGGGTTATACTTGATCTGCCACTTAACAAAAAGGCAATAAGGTGTAAATGTGTTTACAAAATCAAGTTTAATGCTGATGGAAATGTAGAAATGTACAAAGTTAGGCTGGTAGCAAAGGGATGCACTCAACAAGAAGGTTTGGATTACCATGAAACTTTCTCACCAGTAGTCAAACTTGTCACCGTCCGAACTTTACTTGTTATTGCAGCTATAAAGGGTTGGTACCTATACCAATTATTTCTTGCTTGGATATTTGGATAATGAAGTATTCATGGAACTACCCCCAGGTTATGATAATGCTAGTGGTTCAAAGGTATGTAAGCTTCGCAAGAGCTTATATGGGCTCAAACAAGCTTCGCGGCAATAGTATTCAAAGTTGTCTAATTTCATTCTTCAGCATAGTTTTACTCAATCTAAAGCAGACTATAGTCTATTTGTTAAGACTACTCAAAACTCATTCATGGCTGTTTTAGTCTATGTTGATGATATAATTATGGCTAGAAATTGCTTGGAAACTATCAACAATCTGAAGGCAGCACTTGATGCACAATTCAAAATTAAAGATTGGGGCAATCTGAAATACTTTCTGGGTATTGAGGTGGCTAGATCAAAACAAGGGATACATATTTGTCAAAGAAAGTATACCCTGGACATTCTTGCTGATTTAGGAACCATAGGGTCAACACTAGCCAAGGTACCACTTGATCAAAACATCAAATTATCCAAGGGAGAAGGAGAACTACTAGCTGATCCATCTATTTATAGAAGGCTGATTGGACGTTTGCTATACTTGAGCATAACCAGATGAGATATATCCTACTCAATTCAGCTCTTAAGTCAATAGATGGATCAACCAACAATACCCCATCTCAATGCATTACATGAAGTACTAAGGTACCTTAAGAGAGCTTCGGGACAATGTTTATTCTATCTATCTACCTCTGAACTACAACTAAAAGGATACTCAGATTCGAATTGGGGAAGCTGTCCAGACACTAGAAGGTCATTAACAGGGTACTGTGTATTCATTGGCTCATCTTTAGTGTCCTGGAAATCAAAGAAGCAAATGTAGTATCACGATCATCTTCTGAAGCAGAGTATAGAGCAATGGCGAGTGTTTGCTGTGAATTAACTTGGTTGAGATACTTATTCAAGGATTTACAGATTAAGCACGGTCAAACAACTAGCCTATATTGTGATAATAAATTAGCCATCTACATTGCCACAAATCCCATCTTTAATGAGAGAACTAAGCATATAAAGATTGATTGTCATCTCATTCGGGATAAGATACAAGCTGGAAGTATTGTTGCTGAATATGTGCATACTGGTTCTCAAGTCGCAGACATCCTAACTAAGGCCCTGAAATCTACAAGCTTCTACCTTCACATGACCAAGATGGGAGTAATAGATATCCACTCTCCATCTTGCGAGCGGCTGTTGAAAGATGAGCACAAGCTGAGGAAGTTGAGGAATTAAAGGAATGATCGGCATCCTACTCACCAATTCGAACTTCATCAGCAACCATTGCTGATTGTACAATGGAAGAGCCTAGAAGGCTACATTTTCATAATCTGTTTGTATTGCACATGGATTCAGTTATGATAAGAGAATATTCATTCATTTGTAACAGATTTTATTCTTTCTGTCTCACACGTGAGTTGTATATATATTCTTTGTAATTTGTATTGTAATCATCATCTTGAATAGAAGAAAGTTTACATCATCACAAGTCTTCGAAATTCTTCTATCTCAAATTTTACACTTGTATGCTCTTGCATTTTAACAAGAAGTAAACTGAACTGCATAAAAACTGAAATTACGTTCATTATCATTATTTACTAAATCATTGTCTAGAAGTTGGATATAACCTATTCAACGCCCTCTAAGTTGTCTTTCTCCTAGATCACAACTTTTCAGAACCTTTTCTCATGATCTCATGATTTGGCCGGCTTTGTATCTAAAATCATTGGCAAACCAACTTAGCGTCCAAGTTGACTTAATCAGTTGTTTAGCTCATTCAGTCATTGAACTTGATCATACCTGCCATTTAACTTCGTGTCTTCGGCATGTTTGATGTTTCTGATTAGTTTGGGTGGCATATTAATCGATGATGCAGAAAAGAAGAACCCAAATGAAAAATTGATACAAATTCGATAATTGCAGACATTATCACAGTAGACCCTGTCTGGTACTGCATTAGTTCAAAGCCACGGAAAATTGTAATAATATGAGGCAGTTGTTGACAGTATAATAATAATTTTCTCTTTAATAGGTTAATTTGGACCATTTCAAGGTTTAGTAGTTTCACTTCTAATTGTAAGATCTTAAGGCAGGGGCGGACCCACATGGGGTCAAATGACCCCACATATGTTTTGATTTTTTTAATAAATAATTGTTTTGACACCCTTTACGACCTGCATTCATTACGAGATGCCAAATGAAGTCGAAATATTACATTCTTAATAAAATTTCAAAGTGCTCACGACCTAGTTTTTCATTTGTTAATGGTGTGTGAAACGACAAACCATAGCAAACGTTATGACATATCAAAGTAGGCATTTCCAAACTAGCATTTCGAGAATTTTGATAATATGTTAACTTTCAAAATTCGCTAGTGATCGTACACTATCCGAATTCACAAATCGCCAACGTCATTTAGAAGCTCATTTCGAGAACTACATCGTAGTCATATTGCATGGTCCAAACGGATATAAAAAATAGTTAAATATGCGTCAAATATACTTGTTAAAAGATGTGTCATCTTGTGTTTTCTTTAAAATTTTTTAATTATTTCATTAGCGTTTATTATTTTTGCACAATAAATTTTTTAATATAATTTACATCATTTTATTAAATTTTGTTACATGAAATATGACGTCAAAAATTTTAGAATCGTTAGAGATTAAATCATTTACTCCCTAGATTAAATGTGAATTTTATTTCAATTCATTTATTTTCTATATCCAATTTGATTTACTCGCCGTCAACTCAACATCTATCAACGAAATGGTAAACAAAATTATATAACTAACAAAATTCATTTAACAACATTGATAATTATATAATTATAGAGCCTGTTTGCCCCACTTTTTAGCCAAATTTTGACCGTTTCTTCACTGTACGTGGGCCCGGCTGTGAGAGGACTAGTCTATAATTGCAGCTGAACGGTCAAGAAACAGATTAAAAGTCGGATGAAAATCTGGACCAGACATGACCATAAGATGTTTTCAAAGTATCAAAATACGTATTAACATATTTTCATTAATATTATATTATTTTTTAAAAAATTACACTTTTTAACTTTTCACTCACAAAAGACAAAAAAATTAATGTCCAGGTCCGCGCTTGTCTTGAGGTACAGAACTCTATATTGAAAGAGCATCGGGAGAAGGGCAGGCCTGCTGCAAGTGCTTTGAACCGTTCGTCAAAGAAAGTAGATTGGCTTTCACTGTCAATGATGCTTGAACTGCTTCATCACCCATTTTTTAAATAAGTAATATTGGTATTATATATTATTATAAGTTAATGATTCCGCTTCTCTTGCTGATGGTATTTGACTGTCAATTTGCTTTTTATCTACTTTGTGATCTAATTCCCTTGAGGAAAGGAAAATGAAATCCTCCAGCTCAACTGAAGTTGCTTCTGCAGAGGAGCAAATCTATGACAGAATAAGCGAGTTGATAGCTTTTGATGAGACGAAAGCTGGTGTTAAGGGACTGGTTGATGCTGGAATCACCAAGGTTCCTCGGATTTTCTTTTCCCCAGTGGATGGATTCGACAAGGTTTCTGATCCCGGAAAGTTTGAATTCTGTATTCCTGTTATAGATCTTGATGGTGTTGAAAAAGATCCTGTTTCCCGTAAACATGTAATGGACAAAGTCCGGGATGCATCAGAGACATGGGGTTTCTTCCAGGTAATCAATCATGGGATCCCAGATGGTGAGGATGCATCAGAGACATGGGGTTTCTTCCAGGTGAGCAATCATGGGATCCCAGATGGTGTTTTGGACGAAATGTTAGACGGGGTGCGGAGGTTCTATGAACAGGATACAGAGGTCAAGAAAGAATGGTACACTCGAGATGGCTCGAAAACTGTTGTGTATAACAGCAATTTTGATCTATTCAGGGCAGCTTCAGCTAACTGGAGGGATACAACTTACTGCAACATGGCTCCTAATCCTCCCAGTCCAGAGGATTTGCCTAAAGCATGCAGGTATATTTTGTGTAATCAATTTTTTCACAGATGACTTAATCGCTAATTTCGAGAGTAATAATAATCAGCAAAACAATAAGAAAACGAGCAAAACAGAATATGTTTTAACAGAGTGCAATTTCCTGCAGAGACATTCTGATTGAGTACTCCAGTAAAGTAAGAAAATTGGGTCACTTTTTATTCGAATTATTATCTGAAGCCCTTAATCTTAATTCGAACCATCTGAATGGCATGAATTGTGCCGATGGGCTTGCCATTTTGTACCATTACTATCCAGCATGCCCCGAGCCCGAACTGACTTTAGGAGCAAGCAAGCACGCTGACTACGACTTCCTCACTGTGCTGCTTCAAGACCATATTGGAGGGCTTCAAGTCTTGTATCAGAACCAATGGGTTGACATTCCCCCTGTCCCTGGAGCTCTAGTAGTTAACATTGGAGATCTTCTACAGGTGTGTCCTTATCTAACATACCGATTTTATTTGTTTTTTTACTTATGCTAGTGAAATAAATCGACTGATATGTCACTATAAATGAATGCTTTCAGTACCGATTAAATTTTGTCCCTACTGAGGACATCCATAAAAAAATCATAAAACCAAGCAAAATAGTGAAATACGCATAGAGGGCATCTGGAGAGGCGATTTGTCCCAAGACACCTGATAACAATAGATAGAGTAGAGAGACATGGGAATAAGCATTCTTGAATTGCATTTCCTGGTGAAAATGGTAGGTTTACTTAAAAGATCAAATTTAGGCCAATTGAGTATTGAAGAATTGATCTTTCTATAGGTGCTTGCTCTACTCAAAATTTGAAAATCAGACCCACAAAATTTCATTCTGAACTCTGATTATAGGATATTCAACGCCACTTGATATAGACTAGAATGAAGAGATTATAGCGATTGACCCTCAAAGTTATCTCACGCCTCCCAGACAGAAAAGAAAACTGGCATTCTTAATGTTAAAATTTGAGTGTGACTCGAATTCCTTGTTGAAGTAATTGAAGTGCACATCAAGAAGAATTCAATTAGGAATATTATTGGACTCTTATGTCAAGTGGAAGTTTTATTTTGAAAACTCATTGGGAGTTGTAATTTATTTTGGACTTAATTTTATGGTATCCTACTTCATCAACAACCCAACTAGATGGGTTTGGACATCTCCTATTTATTCTCTATAAAAACTAGGTTCATCTATACAATTTTATAGTGTGAGAAAATAGATTACTAAAATTATAGGATCTATTATAATTTTCTCTATTATTTTTGAGTCAATAAAATCTTTTAATTCTTCTACTATATTTTTGTCTTTATTATTCTTTTGCTTGATCAAATACTTCATTATTATTTGCCATATAACTTCAACATCTCAATCTGGTGATTTGTTTCATAACAATTGGTATCAGAGCAATTCTGGTATCTTGGTTGTTTTCACAACAATTGGTATAAGAGCCCAGGTTCAACAGTT